TGGCACCCCATAAATTCCTCATGCTCTGTTCACTTTTCTTTATTCTTTATTCTTTTTGCTCCTCAGATTCAATAGGGCCTGTCTTCAGGTTCACTGATTCCTTCTTCTGCCTGTTTGAATCTGTTGATGAATTCTAATGAATTTTTCAATTCAGATGTGAGATTTTACAGCTCCAGAATTTGTTTGGTTTTTTATAGAAATTCTCTTTGTTGATATTTTCATTTTGTTCATATATCATTTTCCTGGTTTGTGGGGGTTCTTTGTGTTTTTCTTTTGCTCTTTAAGCATATTTAAGACAGTGGTTTTAAAGTCTTTGCTAGTAAGTCTGATGCCTTTTATCTTCAGGAACAACTTTTAGAGGGTTATTTTGTGCCTGTGAGTGGGTCACGTTTTCTTGTTTCTTGTGACCTTTAGTTGAAGACTGGCAGTTGAAAAAACAGCCACCTCTGTCTTTATAGACTGGCTCTGTATAGGGGAAGACCTTCAGGTATAAGCTCATCATGAACACTTAAAGTCTTCTCAGATCTCTTCTGGTCATACGTCTTCCCTGTGAGAGTGCCTTTCTCCAGTCCACCTTATACCCAGCTGCTTTTCATGACTTCATTTCTGTGAGTGTCAACCCTGCCTCTTCCCAGGGTCTTAGCAGTTCTACTGTATTTCTCAATCACTAATCTCTTGCCCCAGGCATCTGCAGGTCTGTAGTCCCCCTGAAGCTTTCGTAAGTTATATTTCACAGCTTTGTCCAGTCTGAGGTGTGCTTCATTTGGCCATCTGAGCTCTCAGTTGGGTGACACAGAGATTAATCAGGCAATCCCTGGACAGATTAGACTGCTGCAAATTTGGCCTGCCCTGCTCTCTCTGCTCAGTTGCCCCATAGGGTAACTGGGGACTGGGTTGCTGCTTCCCCCAGACCATACTGTACAGTTCCAGGGAAGGGGTAGGGCAAGTGCAAATTAAAATGCCATGAACTTTTTTTACTGTTTTGAATGGAACTTTTTATTGATGGGGCTTTTGCTTGGTTACTGTAATCTTTACTGATTTCAAGGGCTCCTATAAGGCTATTTTAGTCAATATTTACTTGTTTATTCTACATTTATATGGGGGATTTCTGGGCTTGCTAGTCTTGCATCTTGCTGACATTACTCCTCTAACCCTCCTATTTTAAGATCAGTGCATTAGCAGCCTTAATTTTATCTGAAACTAGTTCCTTTCTGCCACGTAACCTAACATTTTGACAGGTTCTGGGAATTAGGACACAGACATTTTTTTCAGACATGAGTAAACTTAATGTAGTATCTTGAATGGGATCCTGGAACAGAAAAAGAACATTAGGGAAAAGCTAATGAAATTTTAATAAGATACGGAGTTTAGCTAATAGTAAACTGTAATAGTACCAATATTGGTTCATTAGCTATGACTAATGTACATTGGTAATGTAAGATGTAAACAACAGCAGACATAGGATGGAGAGTATATGGGAACAATCTGTACTGTCTTTGTTTCTAAAATTAAAAATGTATTTAAAAGAAAAGAGTAGCTATAATATATAATAAAACTGTGTAGTACTTTTGGACTGAGGTAGAGTACTCAAAGAAGGACAAGCTTGAAAGAGGGACCCCTCCCCAAGTCTGAGGTTCAGACCTCATTGGAGAAGGTATAGTTGCAACCCACTGGGAGGTAGAGACATTTGCTGATTTTCCCAGGTGAGTTGGCCCTCAGTTGCTTTGGGCAGGCAGGAAGCAACTTTGGGGTGCAGGAAACCTGGCATGCAGGTTTTCAGAGTGAGGAGGGTGCCAGTGGCAACCCTCTGCGGTGCAGGTGGGGTGCAGGTGAGCAAAGGAAGTGGGTGCATGAGTGGGACTGGAGGAAAAGAGAGTTCTGTGTCTGTGTCCAGAGGGCAAGAGACATGCCAGGCTCTGAGATCATTGAGTGACTCTCCTCTGGGCACATGGCTGGGCAGAGCACCCACCTCATATCACTTCTCAACTTTATGGCCCCAGAAGCAGCAGGACAGTCCCTTTCTCCTTGCAATGTTCTCCAAGCATCCTCTACTGAGAAAACTGTAAACCAAAAGCACCTGAGCCTAGTCTCAATTAATTTAGGAGTTTATTTTGCCAAAGCTAAGGACATGCCTGTCACAGGCCTCAGGAGGCCCTGATGACATGTGCCCATGGTAGTCAGCCTTCAAATTGGTTTATAAACTATGTCTTTTAGGGAGAAATAAGACATCAATCAATATGTGTAAGATGTACATTGTTTCAGTCTGGAAAGGCAGGACAACTGGAAGCAGAGGCTTCTGGGTCATAGCAGATTCGAAGATTTTCTAATTGACAATTGGTTATTATCTAAAGAGCTGGAATCAATGAAAAGAATGTCTGGGTTACAGTAAGGGGTTGTGGAAAAACCAAGGTTGTGTCATGCAGATGAAGCCCCCAGGTAGCTGGCTTCAGAGAGAATAGATTGTAAATGTTTCTTATCAGATGTAAAGAGTCTGTTCTATGAGTCTTAAGGTCTGTGTTGATGTTAATAGTAATGAGGCATGTCCAACCCCTGACCCCACAGGCCCCCTTCCCATTGTGACCTGAACTAGTTTTTCAGGTTAACTTTGGAATGCCCTTGGCCAAGAAGAGGAGTCCATTCAGATGGTTGGGGGGCTTAGAATTTTATTTTTGGTTTTCAAAACCAAACGCTGTTAAGGAGAGATGCTGAAAGGAATTCTGTCAGTTGTTGCAGAGCATGTGTTACAGCATGAATTTGCAGCTGAGAGGCAGTAAATTGGTGACTACCACAGTTCCTCACCATCTTCCATAGCTCACACTGGGAGAACCACCAGAGAGCTTCCCACAAATTCAGCTGTGCCCCTCATCAATGCATTATCTGGTTGGCTTAGTGAAGGGTCTATCCTTTGGGTCCCCCTCAGGGTGTGGTTTAAGGGTGGGTGAACATATTGGTTATAAGAAATGCCATCTGATATTTCCAGTCTCCAGAATCTTCAGACGCTTTCCTCTGCAGTTCTTCAGGGACAGTAGTTCTCCATTGAGTCCACATTTCAATTAACCCACCTGCCACATTATTAATGCCCCTCTTAACTGCTTGAGTCAACTCATTAAGTGTCAGATCCTGAGAGTACCTTGATGTTGATAAGTTTATCACAGTCTATATTTTATCCTCTTTTTTTTTTTAACTCTCTTAGAATGAGACAGGGATTTCTCTTGAAGTTAATGGAACTGAAGCATCAGGGCCCCTTATTTACATGTTCCCTTTCCATCCCTTGGGGAAAAAAACAGTAGAATTTACTCACATAGTTAATGTTTTCCATATGAAAAGTAAAATATCTTAACCACAGTCAGTTATGATAGCTGTTTCATTCTCCTCTGGCTTCCTCTTATATTGGGTAGTTTGGTATAGCATCAGACATGTTTGGACTTCACCCAAGGCATATTCTAGTTGAAGATACATTGAGTTTGAGTTTAGAGGGGAGTATTTATATGCTTCCAAGTCACTTCTGTGTATAGATAAGTTATTGCTAGCTGTCCTGAGTAGAAATGTTCTCTAGGAACACTCGTGGAGAACAGTGTTGATCCACTTGCCATTGCAGTAAGATTGTGACATCACTGTGCTCTGTAGTTTCAGCCATTGGATGTTTATGGTTTAGAGGGGACAAAAATGGTTTGAAATCTAAGGAGGCAAGAGTTTATCTATAGAAAATTCTCCCAAGCATCAGATCATCGGATATGTAAATCTGCAAGCTGCATATTTGATACTCATCTTGGCCCATTCAAATGGAAGTCTTTCCTATCAGGAATATATTTATTAATGCAACTCTCTTTCTTTCTCTTTCTTTCTCTTTCTCTCTCTCTCACACACACACACACCTCAAAATGTCTACGACTGTAAGGTAAATACTTGTAGGAAATACTACAGTGAGTTCATTTGCATGTGAAGTCACATGTTTTATAAACCCCACATAATGGACTCTCTCTTAGGGTATCTGACATTTGTCATCATAATGAAGTTTAGTGGTTTCACATTAAAAAAGCAGAAAGTGTACCATTTATATGAAATCCGCTGATATCTTGTAGTTCATAAGGGAAATAAATTTGATGGGATTTTTCTTACATTTGACAACAATCCTAAAATTGTATGTGACTTTACCAATAATGAGTTGTGAAACTAACGAAATTTTCTGTGCCACTCATAACAACAACTACAAATGAATTTCTGTTAAGCATGATATCTGGAAAGAATCTGTATTTTCTCTAGAGAAAAGCAAATTGCAAGTTTACTTTCAAATGAGAACTAATCAAAGAGTAAGGAGCCATTGATACATGGAAAATACATTAAATAGTGCCTCAGGCTATTAACACAAATATGGTATTTTTTGTACTTTGTAATGTTCGTGTGATATTTTTGAGCCTTCTTTTTTTTTTTTTTTTTCTTTTGAGACAGAGTCTTGCTCTGTTGCCCAGGCTGGAGTGCCATGGTGCAATCTCAGCTCACTGCAACCTCCGCTCCCTGGATTCAAGCAATTCTCCTGCCTCAGTCTTCTGAGTAGCTGGGATTACAGGTGTGTGCCACCATGCCTGGCTAATTTTTGTATTTTTAGTAGAGACGGGGTTTCACCATGTTGGTCAGGCCGGTCTCAAACTCCTGACCTTGTGATCCACCCACCTCGGTCTCCCAAAGTGCTGGGATTACAGGCGTGAGCCACCGCGCCCGGCCTTTAAGCCTTCTTAAGTATGTAACTCATTGTGATTTATGTTCTAAATGTAGATAAATGTTCACTTGGAGAGATAATTTTGTATTATTAAAAAGAAGTTCCTCCAAAACTATAAGCATCCGGGCCCATGCAACTTTGGACATCACTAACTAGTTCCCTAGCCTAAGTCAGTTTACCTATGGCCCTAATCTAAGGAGAAGATGGGGTTTTCTGTAGGAAGAGCCGTGGGTTATGAGAACAAGGACTCCATCACTGCAGGTAAGAAGAGCGACAATAACTCTTGGCCAGCAGTAGCTTATATTTACTAAGGCTTTTACCGTTTAAATGACAATTAGCTCTCATTGTGTAAAAAACTACCCCCAAACACTTGATGGCTGGAAGCACCAACCATTTATTTAGCTCCTGAATGGCTCTGATGATCTGGCCCAGGTCCAGCTGGTTCTAGACAGGGCTGGCTAGTGCTACCGTAGTCATCCAGTCATCCAGTTGGCCGAAGAGTGGCTGCAGCTGAGATGACTCATCTCCCTCCTCCATGGTGTCTCTCATCCTCCAAGAGGCCTGAGTTTGTTCATGTGGGAACTGGGCAGGCTCCAAGACAGAGAAAGAAGAAGTACATAGGGCTTCTTAGGGCCTGGATTCAGAACTGACAAGTCATCACTTTTGCTGTGTTCTATTGGGCAAAGCAAGCAAATGTGTCTTATTTCTTTTGGCACAGATGTATTTTATTACATTTATAATTATAAACAGCTTTGAGTGGCAATGAACCCTTGCTTGTGGTAATAATAGATTAATAACTCTACGATGGTTATGGTGATAACCATGGTAGAGTTACAAGGAGAAAAGTCAAGTGTTTAAACAGCATTACCTTGGCCAAGAAGTGACTAAAACAAAACTACAGTCTTACTTATAGCACCTCATATGGTATAGTAAAATGGATATGGTCTTTAGATGAGACCAGTCCTGAATTCTACCTTCACTGTTTATTAACTGTGTGAACTAGGAATGTTGGTAACATTTCTGAGTTTCAGTTTCATATCTGTATAGCAGAGATATCTGTTTCACAAGATTGTGTTAAATAAAAATAATTTTGCATTAAAATACCTGTCTTCTCATGGGTTGCCTTTCATTGCCATTTTATTTTGGCATCCTTTTGCCTCTCAGATGTCTTCTGAGATTCAAGTTAACCATTATCGTTTTTTAAACTCCAAAGATCAAAGAAGGTTTCCAGCCTCTATATAGATGAGAGCAATGGAAGTAGTTGCCGTGGTCTTAAGCAGGTCCCCTGGGCCCTCTTCCTCTGATTTTCTCCTAAACAGCTTCAGCTGACACTATGTCCAGGGATTAAATAAAATTTCAGAGATATTAAATTGCCCATAGGCACCAGAGACAATTCTGTCAGCAATGAAAAGCATTCAACAGGTGTTCATATACCAATAATAACATGAAATATTAATAAACTAGTTTAGTGTATTAAACATTCAACTGTGAAATCTCTGTTATGTGTCCAGCACTTTATTAGGCCACAATGACTTACAAAAAAAAAATCAATGTATTTCCACCACACGCTATACATACTAATTGCAGGTATTAAAGCATGTATCATCTAACTAACAATAAATGGCATTTTTGGTTAATGAGAAGGAACATTCAGTGCTGGAAAATGAGACTGGTATTCTCATACATTAATTTTAGAGTTTCGACTGGGTGAGGTGGCTCACACCTGTAATCGCAGCACTCCGGGAGGGTGAGGTGGAAGTATTGCTTAAGCTCAAGAGTTCAAGATCAGCCTGTGCAACATAGCAAGACTTCTTTTAAAAACATGTAAGAACCTCTTATTTTTGCCTCCCTTCTTCTGTGGAAACCATAGTTTTTAGGAATAATTCCAATTCATTGCTTTTCTTGACCCCGTCTACTATTATTGAATATACCATCTAAAAATGGCTTCATTGACTTTTTTTTATACTGTAGTGCTTTCAGATCTATTCTCTAAATATTAATAAGCATCTATTTAAAACACAGAGATGTAATTTTGTTGCTGTCTTGCTGAAAATACTCAACTTATTTTCTTTGTGTTTTAAGAATAAAAATTTGAATGTTATCCTACCATCTTCTGCATGATTTGACACATTCTGACTTTCATCCTTATCTTGATATACACTCCCTCTATCATTACTCCAGGTACACAGGCTTTTTTTCAATTCCTGGAAAAAATCAAACTCCTTGCTGATGGGGAGTTTCCTGTCCTAATGCTTGAAGTACTGATTTCTCCTCTCACCCCATTTGCCTTTGCTGACTCTTCAACTTGGAAGCTTTCTTCATTGCGGTAGCAGGGTGACATGCAAACCATGGCCGAGCTATACATGGAATTCTCTTTCTGTTTAAGATATCCACCATTGATTTTGATTGTTTGCAGTAATTAACTCTGAAGGATCCAGATTTTCCTCTGAAACTAGCCCCAGTATCAATTTACAGTTTCCTCTGAGCATACTCTTGTATTGCTTAGTTTTAAATTCTATATTGGTATATGTATTTGCTATCTTTACCTCCATACTCACTTATCCTCTGGTTGAGATTAAGGCAAATGCTTCTCACTACTCTTATTTCACAATGCCAAGTGAAATGTCTTGGTTTCTAATCCATAGTAGACATAGAAGACAGCATAAGTAAAGTGACTAGCACAATTATTCTGAGCTTGGCGATCAGAATCTTTTACACGTAGAATGATAAAGCAAGAGGTATTCCATTTATTACCATATCACATCAAAGAGCACATCACCAGAAAACTGTGTCCAGTTCTTCTTGACACCACACACTCTACACTCCCATCAGCATGTCTGAGGTGTAGCTGCAGACGGGAGGAGCATAATCAAGGGAAACAGGCAGTGGTTGGTTTTGTTACCAACCGTATAAAACAAAAGCTGGACAAAAATCTAATCTTGGAAAAACCTGCCATGCCTTTGATCAGCTGGGCCCCTCTGGGATTTGGATTTGAATACATGAATGGCTCTAGAGCGTGTCACTGTGTTTTCAATCTCAGAAGTGATGGCCCCTACTTGCTCTGAGATAATGAAAGTGCCCAAGTCAGAACTCTGCTGAGAGTCCTGAGTCCTGTCCAATTTGAAAGATTATCCAGTTTATCAATTAGGGCAAAGGATTTTCACCTTCTAATGGCATTCTGTTTTTTTTTTTTTGAGGCATTGACATTCAGAGAAGGTAAAAATTCTCTGTTTCCCAAAACTACTCAATTAACAGATTCATGGAAAAATTAAAATTGTCTGAATATTTTCTTTGTCTGAGATTATTTTTAATTTTTACATTTATATATTTTTCAAAGAACATTTACAATTATGCTATGGAACATAACACAAGAGAATTAAGTGTTTTATTGCCTTAAAAAGCTGTATTAGGAATCCAGGACCCCAACAAAAATGTGAGCCAGATATACTCTAGTTGCAGTTAGAGATTTAATTCCACTTTACAAAGTCTGGCTAATTGAATGAGCCTTTCTTGGATCTCATGGATGTACAGGCCTATCATTCTTAGGATGATTAGGTTTATTGCATTTATTTTATAACATTTCCCCTTGCCACTTTAATGTTTATGAAGCATGATCACAGCACCTCCCAGATGTGGTGTGCACACCTGCCCTTGAGGTGAGTGACAGACACATTTGCATTCTCCTCTTGTAGACTGACAGTGGTGGCTGCAGCACTTGCTTGCTGAGTGACCTCAGGCAAGTTATGTCCCATCTGAGGCTCACTTGAAATATTATATTTGTACTTTATTTCTTATAAAATTTTTTAATGCCTAGCATGGTACCAAGCTAGATACTGAAATCCAGACGAAAGAGTTAGTGTTATTTTATTTTTTGTAGAGACAGAGTCTTGCTGTGTTGCCCAGGGTGGGCTCAAACTCCTGGCCCTCAAGTGATCCTCCCACATTGGCCTCCCAGAGTGCTGGGATTACGGGCATGAGCCATTATGCCTGGCCTTAAAAGGCTAATTGTTGTCTTTACGAGGTTTGTGGTAAGGAAGGAGAAAGAAACAAATTAGTAATCCCAAATCTACATATAATCACGATATGCAATAGGTTCTGTAAAGGAAAAACAGGGTGTTATGTGAAGTTTAACAAAGACAATGAATTATAATTGTGGGTTCCATGGAGAAAGTCATCTAAGAAAGTTATGCTTTAGCTCCAATGTGAAAAATAAAGACAAATGAGGCAGGTACAGTGAGTGAGGAGCAGTAGCCCAAACAGACCAGAGAATGAATGGCCTGACAGGAACTTTTTTGGAAAGAATTTGAAGGAGGTCGGTGGGACTAAATCACAGAACAAAGGAGGATGCCAAAGAAAGGCTGTAGACATTGGCTGGGCCTCGTCAGCTACTATAAAGATTTTTTAAGAACCCTCCATGCAAAGGAAATCCTTCCCAGGCTTTTAAGCAGGGGCATGATATGATCTGAATTGCATTTTAAAAATCTCACTCTGGACATTGTATAAATGATAGCTAGCAAAGGAAAAGGAGAGGCTTCGAGGGAAAAATGAAGAGCCTAGGAAAACAGAACAACTCTAGGTGTGAGATGAAGACTGACAGGGTTTCAGAGTGTAATAATATAAGAACATCGGGCACAAAAAAATATTAAAAACGTGAAATAAAAAGTACACGTCTTAGGCCGGGCATGGTGGCTCATGCCCATAATCTCACACTTTGGGAGGCCAAGGCGGGCTGATTACTTGAGATCAGGAGCTCGAGACCAGCCTGGCCAACATGGTGAAACCCTGTCTCTACTAAAAATACAAAAATGAGCCAGGCATGGTGGTACACACCTGTAATCCCAGCTACTCAGGCAGCTGAGGCAGGAGAATCACTTGAACCTGGGAGGCGGAGGTTGCAGTGAGCCAAGATCACGCCACCGCACCCCAGGCTGGGTGACAAAGCAAGACTCAATCTCAAAAAAAAAAAAAAAAAAAAGTACCTATCTTAATAAGATGGGGAGGACTAAAGACAATGAGGATCTTAAAAGCAGTCAGAGGAAAACATACCAGGAATAATCAGTTGCATTTTTATATACCAGCAAAAAGTTATATTAAGTAGATTTTTAAAAAGATACTTAGAATAACAAACACATGATCAATCTATTATACACATGGCATGATAAATTTAGACTGTTCAAAATTATATAACACTAGTCAGAGGTAATAAAGGAAACAACTGAATAAAAGTTATGATATATGATCATGGATGGGAAGACAATGACATAAAGATTTCGGTTCTCAAATATGATCATATATGCAAATACAATTCAATCAAAATAATGATGATTTTTACGGGAAATTCCAAAAATACCCTTAATTTTATATGAAAGATAAGAGGGCAAAACATTAGGCAATATTTAAGGACATAAGGCAAAATTTAGGACAGAGAGGACGTGTTTTAAATTTATAATAATTTTGATAGATGATAATTAGCAAAGATATTGGTTGTATAAGACGAGAATACAAGCTAAGAACAGAATCACAATCGTAAGGAAATTTTATATATGACCGAAGTTGTATTGAAAAATAATTTGGGGCAGGGTGCGGTGGCTCACACGTGTAATCCCAGCACTTTGGGAGGACTGAGGCAGGTGGATCACTTGAGGTCAGGCAGTTCAAGACAAACCTGGCCAATTGGTGAAACCCTGTCTCTACTAAAAAAATACAAAAGTTAGCTGGGTGTGGTGGCATGAGCCTGTAGTCCAGATACTTGAGAGGCTGAGGCAGGAGAATCGCTTGAACCTGGGAGGCGGAGGTTGCAGTGAGCCGAGATTGCATCACTGCACTCCAGCCTGGGTGAAAAGTGAGACTCTGTCTCAAAAAACGAAAAAAAGAAAATAATTTGGCAAAAGAATGGATATGGCAGGGGCGCTAAAACACTGGCTTTTTCAAAGTTGTTTTGACTATTTCTAGTTCCCTTCTTTCCTTATATAAATTTTAGAATCATCTTGTCAATAGACAAAAAAATCCTTCCTAAAAGATTTACTTGAGATTGTTTTGAATCTGTAGATCAATTTGGGGAGAATTGATATCTTAAAAATATTGAGTCTTTGACCCATGAACACAATGTGTCTCCATTTATTTAGGTCTTCTTTAGTTCCTTTCATCACTGTTTTGTAGTTTCAGCATATATCTCCTGCAATACTTAATTACCTTTATATCTAGTATTTATATGTTGTTGGTACCTTATAATGGGAACTAAACATTTTTAAATTCAATTTTTTGGGCTAATGTATACAAATGCAGTTGATTTTGTGACCTTAGATCTTGTGATCTTCCCAAACTCAGTATT